ATAGTGATGATGAAGGGGCTACTGATGATAACCCACTTCCCAATTTCTCCATAAGGTAAAACAATAATTACTGTTATTCTCTGTGTTCATTGTACTGATTCTTTTTTTATCTTTGCAACAATTTTTCTTGCAGAGGTTATGTTTTCTGTACACGGGCCAAAGATATCAGGAACAACTGGCCGTTTTCCCAGGAAAATCTGCAACTTTGTCTGAAATATGGAGTGAAAGATGTGTTGCCGCCTTTTGATCGGACTCTGGATTCAGTGAGAAGCCAATCCACTGCAAAATGTGCAGCTGAGAACTCAACTGTCTGCCGAAACACATCTATCGGTGTCGAGAATATAATCAACTCAAGCGTATCTCGAAAGGACAACGAAATTCCACCAGCCACAGATCAATCTTCTCCCCACACAAATTCAGTTCCAGAGAATATTGTAAAGCTGAAAGTTAATAGATTGAGCCAAGATTTATCCACCGCTAATCCGTTTTTAGCATTAGACAAAATGGCTTCAAATGTTTGCCCGGTTTGCAAAATGTTTTCATCTTCCTCCAACACCACCCTAAACGCCCACATTGATCAGTGTCTTTCCATCAAATGGACTTCGAACCCGAAACAGATGATCAAGCATAGAATAAAGCCAAAGAAAACGAGATTGATGGCGGACATATACAAGACGGCCTTATGCTGTACGTTGGAGGATCTCGACCGAAGAAATGGAACGAACTGGGCCTTGAACTTGGGCTGTCAAGAAGATCAGGATTTGGGGGCCCGTGATGTTAATGGAGATGCTGATGATGTGTATGTGGACTCAAAGGGGACAAAGGTTCGGACACTATCGGAGCTCGGTGATTTGCTGCCGTGTAAGAATGCTGGATATGATAATGATAAGCCTGTGAAAACAGATAAAAGAAACAAATTTGGTATGAGTAAGAAGAAAAAGTATCTTGTCCAGAGACACAAGATTTTGGATCGTTGTCTTCATGGACAGGGATTTTACCCTCCCGGGGCAGATTGTCTGTCGAAATATCCTAGGCCAGAAATTCGCCCCGAGCCCAAGGTATGAGATAATAGTTTACCTTTACACAATTATGTCAGATATTACTTGCAAAATTTTGCAAAATTTTGAAATGTATATATATACCGATCGTAGGTGAAAAACTGCCAGGAAGAAGAGTCTAAAGGTTTCAAGGATCTTAGACAGCATTACATTGCCAATGATCAGACGAAATTCGATTACTCGGGAAGAGTGATTAAACAGTGGGTCGGCTCGAAGCGAAGTGGTCTCAAGGAGGTGGTCAATCTCGAGCATGAAAGTTCACTTTCGAGAAAACTTGAAAATAAACCACCAATAAAGAGTGGTGTATCATCATCACCTGTTGATACGTTTAATGGGAACCACTCGTCTTCTTCAAATGGCAAGAAAATCGGGACTGACGAGTGGCCATCTGTAAATGGCGATAGTTCTTCTCTCAGCTCAAGAACATCCCAGCATCATCCTACGTTTTCACCGGGAGCCAATGAGTTTTCATACCCGAGAAATAACTCTTCTAGTCGTGCAATGACATCTCATAGTAGAAAGTTTTCATCTTTGAGGAAAAAACTTCTTTCTTCTGTCAGGCATCAATCAGTTCCGGAATCAAGGAAAAAATTGCGTCTAAAGCATTTGGACTTCAATAAACATGGACCCTGCTGTGAATCCGAATCAGAAGATGAGGCTTTAGTGTCACAATTTCGAATTTATGGACAAGACAATGAAGGTCTAATGGCAGAGGCTTCTAATGAGCCATTGCTTAATAATAAAACTAGGGTTTTGATAAACCATAAGAAGAAAGAAGGATTTGTAAATGCCGGCAAAGGAGACTTTCCCTTGAAGGCTTACGAGACCTCATCTGAATCCATTTGTCACGATGTTGGGAAAACTATCGATCCTTTTGGCGATACATATAATGGTTTTGCAGCCTTTAGCAATGTCGAATGTATTTCAATGTTTTGTGCCGATGAAGTAGGCAGAGATTTGGTCATTGCAGAAAACAATTCTGGTGAAACACAAAGAAACTACTATGCTGATATGGACCCAATTCCCATACCGGGACCACCAGGCTCATTTTTGCCGAGCCCCGGGCATATGAGCTCGGAAGAACTTAAAGAAAGTTCCTCACTGACCACATGCAGAATACGCTCGTCTGAAGGCGAGCATGAAGTGGTTGATACGAATTCATCAGCAGGGTTTTGGGAGCCTCCTACACAGTCTAATAATACTAATCCGGTTTTGCGGCTAATGGGAAAGAACTTGACTGTGATGAACAAAGATGAAAGCGGGTCAAATATAGCTTTGGCGAGCCCTGGTTCAATGTCGTGTGTTGACAATGGCCTCTCTACTGTCAATGTATCGAATGGGCCTCACACCTTCGGCCGTATTTGTTCTGGAGGTCCTCCAGTTCTCAAAAATATGCAAATAAACATGCCACCTCCAATTCTCGAAAAGGCTCCTAGTAATTTCAGGCCACTTCAGTCTTCTGCTTGTCCTTGTGATTGTTTTGATGGAAACTTAAGTTCGTCTGTGAAGTCTCACGAGTATGCAAGTGAGTGCACTATGATTAGCAAGCAAATTGGAACAAACTTTGTCCAGAATGTTGGGGCACCATTAACACCGCATGTGGAACTTTGTGGAAGCAAACAAAAGGAAATGATCGTGATTGATGACTCACCAGAAATCGGTCACGGAGGTTTTAAATCCGTGAAAGCAACTAATGGTATGTCAAATTATCAAACACGGGGTTATCATCCTCTTTTTGCTGGATCTCCATTTATTCAGAATGGTAAGAAACGAGGCGAAAGTTTTGGGAAATTGATTAATTTCACAGCTGAAGGTTCGAATGCAGTGCAATATCCTAGTTCGTCAACTGCTTCCTTTCCCTACATAGTTGATCAACTGAGGCCTTCTTTTTACGTCTCTCATGGTTTTTCCTGAGTATAAATGAACTGAGTTTTTTTCCAAATGTCATGATATATTATGGTTGCATGAGATTGCATGCATCTTTAGGAATGTTTGGAAAATATATAATTAATTCTTTTATCATAACTATATATGTTATATTGTACCTATTTTTGTTAATGCTTTAGCTTTTATGCATCCGTCTGCATACGACTTGGTTTAACTTGGCTAGCTGTATAGTTTATGAGAATTGAAAATGTATATGTATGACAAGATTTGGGAAAGCATATTGAAGACAAGATTAATCATGGGGTTGTCTTTTGTCTGCAAGACCAAGTCAATCATCCTATATATGCTCAAAGTCATATGAAAAAATTCAACACGAGAGTATAATGAAAAATCCGACATGCTTTTTCATCCTTGATTTCACACACACCCACATGGGTGTGTGTGTGTGCAGTGCCCCGCATGCAGCATCGAATTCTCCGAGTATAATATACTTTCACTTGTATTGTTGTGTTATTGTAACAAAATATGAAAATGAAATTGATTGTTCCACATTTTAATGTGTGTTTACCGATGTGTGATTTGCAGTTCGTTATTGCATGCGACATAGTTGATGGCTCTTGCAAGGCTGGGATTATTATTTAGTGGAGAAATTAGGCAAAAATTCAATCGTGGTTCGTTTACTTGTGTAAAGTTGTTTTTTTGGTACGCTTTCTTCTCATCAATAATACCATGTTATGTAATTTGTATCAGTATTTGGATATTATCCTAAAAATAATTCATTATTTTTTAGGATTAATGTCAAAAAAATGATACAAATTACAACATAACGTACTATTTTTTATGAGTAATGTCCAAAATATAATGCAAATTACAACATAACTTACTGTGTTTTATAAGGAGTAAGTTAATGTATCAAAAATTAACTTTAGACAAGTAAACAGAACAAAACTGAAATTATTCCGAAGAAATTATGTGGAACGTATTTAAGTAGATAGAATCCCAAGGTATTAATTATGAGCAATCTTTTGCTTTATTTTGCTTGAATTTTACAGCTTTCGTGTCATATGTACTTTGTTGTTGCAATCCTGGGCCAATGCCGTTTAAAAAATGATTTCGAACGATAATGATGAGTGGCCTTGCATGAAAATATAGCCGTTGTAACTTGTACACATCGTGTATATTAAAGGAAAAGGTTCATTGGGGACCCATGGCTAGACTAGTGTCCAATGTCTTTTAGACACGTGGGTGTGTACAATATATATATATATATATATAGAGAGAGTGTGACTCATTTCTTTTTTTTTTTTTTTTGGGTACAAAGGAAGAGGCCAAGAAACCTAAATAGCTATGCTTAAGGTGACTCGTGGGTGGCCACACCAATGATATCATGTTGTAACCATTGACGAGCCCCCTCCGGCGGAGTATTGAGTGACCGGTACCTCAAGGGGCCTTCCGCTGCGAAGGAAGCCAGGAAGTCGGCCGCAGAATTCGCTTCACAAAAAACATGTCGCACCTTTACTTCCCATGCGCGACCCAGAAGTTCCTTGATTCCCGACACGAGGCCTAGATGCACTCCCTGGACATCATCAAGTGAAGTAGCAAAGGCCACTACGCTTGCATTGTCAACTTCGGCTTCGATGCGTCTATATCCCATCTCCCAAGCTAGCGAAAGGCCCTGGAAAAAACTCCATAATTCTGCCGCCATAATCGAGCACATCCCTATATTCATCGTAAAGCCGCCGAGCCAATGTCCTTGATCATCCCGAATCAGTCCCCCCGCACTCCCCATTCCAGACGCCGGATTAAAGGAACCATCCAAATTAATCTTGACCCAGCCCAAAAAGGGACGATCCCAGCTAATCTACTGAGAGGTTCTCGATCTTCCCATCTCTCCAAGCTTACGGGCACCATCGTTCACCCTCCCCAGGCCCAGGATATAACAATCAATCTTGTGTAATCCCCCATCCACATCGCAGTTCTTCCCCATGAAAAGGCTCTCATTCCGCCAATGCCATAATTTCCACACAACCACACCAAAAATGTTCGCCCAACCTTCACCGCCTACTCACGAGGGGAACGCCAAGTTTGAGGTTAGCCACATGTCCAGGTCAGCTGCAAAGAACTCCGTTTGTGCGTGGGTCGGAACCAGGCGCCGCCATGGGGCATTCGCGAAAGACATGCAACGTAGACTCCTCCGCGAGATTGCAGACCTCGCAAATTGCTGCTGCCGTCAAATGCCGACGCCGACGTTCAACATTAGTGAGAAATCGGTCCTTCACTAGAAGCCACAAAAAAACTCTTATCCGTTGGGGACCAGGCCACCTCCAAACCACCCGCCATAACAATTTATGTCCCGACGTTGATGCGCCATTATATTCTAAGAAATCATATGCAGACTTTGTGGTGAATTTCCCAGAAGCCGAGGGTCCCCAAAAGCGCCTGTCGCTTCCAAGCTCCGCTAGAGGTGGCGGAATCGCCGCGATCTGCAAGAGCACGGAGTTTGGCACTAAGTGGGAGAATAAGTTCCAGCGCCATGTACCACCCTCCGAGACAAAGAAACGGACAGGTTTCGTGAGCAGCTCAGCCGGGATCGCGCCCGTAGCTACTGTTCGTAAAGTGGTATCCGTTGGTAGCCATTTGTCGGTCCAAAAACATGCCATCGCGCCATCGCGCACAGCCCAGCAGGCCCGCTGACAACGTGTCTCCAGATTTTAAAGACGGACTGGAAGGTTGCCGAGCACGGTCTACGACAACCCGCATTAGCTTCGAAAGGATTGTCCCCATATTTCGCTTTCCAAAGTTGTACCCATAGGGTGTCCTGTTGCGTGATGAATTTCCAGCCCAGCTTCATGAGCATGGCCATGTTCATCCTTCTTTGGCGTTTAATGCCCAAGCCGCCATGCTCTTTTGCCGTGCACACATCTTCCCACCGAACGAGGCTTAGTTTTCTCTAGCCCTGCAGCTGAACTCGTTGGCGGCGCCAGTCCCTGCAGCACTCGCACTCACCAGCGGCGCCACACATTAAAGAAGTCGTGTCTCGTCGGCGACGCCAGCCACCCGATCGAGGTGATTCCTGCGATTTCGATCGGATTTCGACCGGGACAAAAAGAAAATATTTTCTTAATCCAAACCTGCAGCCTGCACATGAGGAGGAAGACCGCCATTCTTCTGTGTTTACAAAGGGTCAAAGGTCGACTCTCGTCTTGTCACGTCGCTTTTGGTGGGTTGCCACTACTGAGAGGAGAGGACGGCGGTCGGTGGGGTTCAAAATTTGAAGTGGCAGGGGTTGGTTTGTGAAATCAGATTTTCGATTTGGGGCAGGGCTATTTTGTGAAAATTAGGCAAATTCTTAAGATTGAAATACAATTTAAGAAACTTATATTTATTGCAATTTGATCCTTAATCAATATGTAATTGATTTATAGTTTGAAATTTGAATAACAACAACATATATGACCTTTAAGTTTTAATATTATATAATTACAGTTTTGCTATGAGCCATCAACACTTATTCACCAATAGTGTATTGACACGTGTCTTACAATAAATACAATTTGGACATGTGTCAATACATTGCTCCATAAAAAAACATCCGATGGCTTCATAAAATTTTTGTATATAGTTAATGTATTTTTAATAACAAAACAGGATGATTTCTTAATCATTTGGTAACCAACCATACACCAAAATATTTTTTGTCGTATCTCCAAAAAATCTTTAGAATCATTTGATTTATCAATAACTCAACCATTCCAAATTTTCAAAAATATTAAACTTAAGTTTTCAGAATATCAAAGGAAATTAATTTAACTATTGATCTTTAATAACAAATCACTCTTTATTCTTAATAGCAAGTCATGTGTTCTCGTTTTTTGTGTTGGGAAAAATACGCTGAAATTTCCATGAAGTCGGATCTATAAAACTGAAATAAAAAGAAAAATTGGACACACCAAATTGATAACGGAGTTCGGCCAATAATGCCTACGTCTCTGGACTACTGCAGATATTTTATTAGGAGAAAGAAAACACTCGTGTTTACAAAACACTCTTAAACTCACTCACAATTCACAACTCAAAAATACACAAAGGCTAGATTTTTTTTCTACCTCACTCATTTTTTTTTTCTCTCGTATTTTTTGTTCTTCTTGGTGTTCTTCTTGCTTCAAAATGTGCTCCTATTTATAGCTAAAAATGGTGCAAAGTTTCAGCTGCAAATTTAATGCTCCGCTACCAATATTAATGTTCAGCCTCCAAAATTGCACAACCACCAAGTTAATTGCATAGCACAGCCTCCAAATTAAATGCAGCCTCCAAATTAATTCAGCCACCATCATTAATTTCAAGCTACCATCATTAATTGCCTCGTGCAGCCACCAAAATTAAATGTGGCCCCCAAATTGTCTCTTATCAATCTCCCACTTGAGGACTGATTTTAATCTGTCCTCACACCTCAAATATTGCAGTAGTCTACTCCGGTCTGTTACTTTAGCAAGCCAACTGAAGTTGAGCACAACTTCAGTTTGTCAATGGTCACCATCTTCGTTAGCATATCTGCTGGGTTCTTGCTTCCTACAATCTTCTTCAATGTCAACACTTCATCCTCAAGTAGAGATTTGATGAAATGATATCGTATGTCAATGTGCTTAGTTCTAGAGTGAAACACTGAGTTCTTTGCCAGATGTATCGCACTCTGACTGTCACTGTGCAAGACACTCTCCTTTTGAGTGAAACCCAACTCTGCTAACAATCCTTGAAGCCATATCAATTCTTTACTGGCTTCTGTCACTGCTACATACTCAGCCTCTGTTGTGGATAGAACAACAATCTTTTGTACCCGCGACATCCAACTAACAGCTGTAGCTCCAACAGTGAAAACATAATCGGTGGCGCTTCTTCGGTGATCAACTTCACCTCCAAAGTCTACATCTACCTAGCCCTGTAACTTTAGATCTCCCTTTCTAAAGTACAGACACTTTTCTGTTGTGCCTCGTAGATATCTCAAGATCCATTTGACTGTTTCCCAATGA